TACTGCTCGACCCTCAAGGCAAAACGGCGCAGAGAGTGTTTTCTACTCACTAGCAGATATCAAAATTTTAATCTTATTATGCTCCGACAACATGTAAAGGATCACGTAGGAATCGCTACATTGATAAGTTGCTGAGCACTAACCAATTTGTTCTAAAATTGCCTCGGCTAATTCCTCTGGATTTGTTTCTGTTGCGTACACGTCTACACTGTTACTGATCGAGTGGAAATACGTAGGATCACCAATGACGAGGATACGCGGCGCCCCGTGAAATCTCTTCGTAGCCAAATTTTGCATTGAATCTCTGGCCGTTTTCATATCAGCCCTGTACATTTTTCTGCTCCTGTAAAGTGACTCTTCAGAAGCAGAAGCCAAAATGCTCTGAAATACGACGAATTAGTCAAGAGGTGAGCAAAAAGGAAGTAGCTTATTTCGGTTGGTCACGATCGAAGTGAACCGTAAGCAGCCCTAATTACTTTATTACGTTAGCATCTTTACAACGAGGCGGATAAGGTGAATTGTGAAGGGATTAGTTTTTCAGGCAGTTCTTTCAGACAAAGACAGGAGCATAAGACTAATCTGCGGGGCATGGTTCAGTTCTCAACGACACCTAAAATAGCTCTTAAAATTACCTGTATGCTGTACTGTCTGGGACAAACAGCACATATAAAATTTGAGATGACCATGATAGCTGCTGGAAGGTTTCAATGGCACTGCAAAACTTACTTAATAATCTTTTAATTAATTCTAAAATAAAACTAACAACAATCCATTTACTCGAAAAATGTTAATCTGTTTCTTATACTTACATCCTTTCGAAATAAATCAAATTCTCTTAAATCATCAAGTGTCATTTTAAATTTTCTATGAAATTCAGCAAACTGCATACTGTTTTGTTGTGCCTTCCGCAACTAATTTATCTGATCTGTTTTGTTACGGCTAGATCCAAGCCAAAATCCCTTTCTGCATTCACTCGCTGTTATAAGGGGAAGCATCCGGACATAGCCCTGATGATAGCAGCTGCCAACAGCAAGGCTTTTGATGGTTCTTTCTCTTTAGTTGTTTTGATAATTAGTAAGCTACCGGGGTGACATCTGATATCACCCCGGTAGCTTACTAATTATCAAAACAAACTAACGAATCGTTGTCCTTCTGGAGAAATTGAACCCTCCATCTTTTGCACAACGGTCTTTGCAAGATAATTGTATCTAATAGACAGCATTGCCATGCTCAGTTTTCGATAACGAAGTGCACTCTTATTTCAAAGCAGCATGATTAGAACAGCAGGGCCTAACTTTAGTGCAGCTTCATTACCTAACTAGTAGCACTTGGAAAAAAAGTGTTTTTTTTGATTTTTTTTCCCCAAATTTTTTGCTCTACAAGTTTAAATACTGCGTTTATTAGAGTTTCAAATTTTTACGTTTTGCAACGAAATTCTGTCTGACATCAGATTTTTTTGGCCAAATCATGCATTTGCAGGGCTAAATTTTACGCTCGATTCATTCGTGTTCTTCTCTTCTATTCGAAAAATCCTGGAATTTCTTTCAGCGCAAAGTCTCAGTTTGGGAGTTGCAGTGGTAATAAATTTTAAAACTACTTAGTGGTGTTGACGCCATCAACTGTAGTCGTCTTGTGGAAAATTTCTTGAAGCTCTTCAAAAGCTTTCTGACTCGACATCGCTTTGCTGAAATTCGCAGTGCTGCCAAATTCTTCGAAGATATACATAGTACAAGGATTTTGATCGTTTTTTAGAACGCGATCGATGACGTCTTGTATCCTGTCCTTCAAAAATGTGTCATGCATTTCCCTATCGAAATAAGAAAGTTATTCAAGATACGTATTATGTAAAGTTACATGCGTATCGCGATGGGCGCATTTTGGCTAGAAGCGCCTCAAATACTTTTTTTTTCAAAAAACTGGAATTTTCGCTCTTCGGAGCAAAATATTTTCAAAGAATTTACAGGAGCATGGAATTCAGTGAAATTACACCATGGCGCAAGGCCACATCCTAATAACATTTACAGTGTGAGGAACAGCACATAGTCGAAAATGCGCCCACAAAAGACCAGTTCTTAGGGTTGTCACGTTACTAGTCTGGAACAGCGCCATCGACTTTGAAACTTCAACTTTACATCTCTGTGTGCGGAAAGTGATACGAACTTAAGAGTTAACGTTTGTCAGGCCGAACAGATAACCAAATACACACACACACAGACATACATACGCAAAAATACACATACACTGGACAATATATGCTTCAACATTGCGTCACTGGTAAAAAAAAGCATAAAAATATTAGCAACCTTGTAAGAAATTCTGTTATCTTCATAATTCGTGCGATTC